GGATAGAAGCAAGAGTATATTCTATTTATTGTAAGGCTTTATTATTTATTTATTTATTATATAATCTAAAATAATCCATACATATTGTCTCTTTCAGCGCTTCTTCTTTAGGGATAATCTGTACATGATCTAAATCAAATATAAAAAATTTCTGGAAATCTTTACGCAAGTTTTCTTAAGATATGTAAAATTTCTTACGTGTGAAATGCATAATATTTGCAAGCAATATCAATTTCCAGATGCATCATCTGCTATTTGGTCCTCTCAATCCTATGTAAATTTCACTTCACACGAAATAACTCTGCAAGCTGTGTTATATTATTTTATCCCTCATTGGTATTTTATAGAATATATAAAACGTTGGAAGGTTATGAAAATTTATCGCAGAGTAGTGGTAATATATTTTGCGTCACAGTTTCTAGAGATGAGATTTATTTATGCATAGTTTATAATGTTAATAATGAGGAAACGCAGTAAAACTATCCATCCAGAGTTATTTTAATTTACAAGCATATTCTTCAGTTGCAGTGTGGTAAGTTTTAAATGTAAACATTCACATCTCAGTTAAGAAAGCATATTTATTTCAATATAATTCTGCATGGCGTACGAACTAATGTGATAAAACTTTTGCAAGATGGCTCTTAGATTGTTAAGGATATAAGAGTATTTAATTATTCATAGACATATTTTCCTTGGTCTCTTAAAAATTTGAAGTATGTAAATTTTGGTAAGCGATCACTAAAAAGAGTTTTAAAATTCTAAAATACTTACTCTTTATAGTTTATATACTATAAATCATTATTATAATAATATGTTGAAGATTCATTTATGATGAGCAAGTTTTGGGGTTTCAATTAGGATTACAAATAATTTTAAATGTTTGTCTAACACCATATATTGATTATATATTAGCACTTTGTATCTAATTTATATTTATTGATGTGTAATCTACAGGTTCTGTTCCCTGTTAGTAAAACTGTAGGTCTATAATTTGCGTGTATTTTATTTTATAAGCTTCTTACTTTATGCAATTTTATATTCATTCCATGAAATAGTAATTACGGGTCAACTAACGAAGATAATATTCTACAATTACTTAATTCTATCATTTGCAAAAAAAAAAAAAAAAAAAAAAAAAAAAAAAGAAAAAAAAAAATAAAATAAAAAAAAATAACTGAATCAAAGTTTTGGGCCTGAATTCAAATCAAATTCTATAATTACAACGCGCATGTAAATTTAAGTAAAATATAGTGAAAGAAGTACAGCAATAGCTGGTAGAGTGCGTCTAATTTGCTCCATCGACTTGAAGATCCGATGTTTCGAAGAATACATACGTAGTGAAAGGGTAATTGGTTCCAAGTAGAGTTTTTAGAGTATCGCATGATATAATGCTGATTCCATGCTTAAAACGTGTAATGAAATGAAATGAATGAATTGAAGTATTTTCATTTATTATATACAATTTAGAAAACTGTATTTTAAATTTTATTTTTAGACCAAAAGGACCGTTAGCCTAAATGGGCTGCTAGTCTCAAAACAGGATTTTGCGTTAAATCACTTTTAAATCATTATAAAAGGAAGTGCCCCTTTTGAAATTGTTGATACCAAATATGATCGCCCTGTATTATTTCCAAAGAAATTAAATAATGAGGAATCTGCATGAATGTAATGTAACATATACGAGTGTGCTGAACCCTCCTGGCTGATAATAATCGGCCTTGTGGTTAACGCAGCACCCCAACACATCTGCATGAATATATAATGTTCCTCGCATTGTGAAAAAACGACAGTGCCTAGAACCATCCAATTCTGAATAACGTAGTCCTCCACCCGCACCTGTGCCCGAATTCGGAAGCCCTAATTTTGAATTTCGAATTTGTTTTATTATCTATTTTATATTTTGTAAAATTTCAATGAATTTTTGATTAATTAAGTCAACGATTTCAAAGCGAGTAGTGTGCGGAATAAAGAAATTTTATCACCAGCTCGCGATATTGTCTATTGGAAATTCTAATCATATACTGCTTTTAAATATTTTGTGATTTTGCTGTTGAATTGAATTTTATGCTTCATAAGTGCGAAGAATATGATATTTAAAAAATAAAGTTAGCACATAAAATGTTCATAATAAAAAAGCAATCATCAAGCCCAGAGTTATTTTAGGTACAGCAGTTAATTTATTGTATTGTTAAAAAATTACTGCTTGATAAATTATTTCCTTTTATGAAAGGGAAATTTATTAAATCACAATTATTGGAAAAGGTATGTGTTTATTCTTATAAAGAAAATTGCAGTATTTTTTCTTCAAAGACTTGTACTTGCATTTGTGTTTCTTCTTTTCATTTCCATAACACCCACACTCGTTTCTTCGTGTTTCGTATTAACCCTTTGAGCCCAAGAAGACTTCGGCGCATGTGTTTTGTGGAAAAGCAAAAGAATGAATGATCTCGCATTTGCTTTTTCTCTTTCGTTTCCAAGACGCCCACTCTTAATTTCTTCTTATTTCATGCTAACCCTTTCAGCTCAAGAAGATTTTAGCACGTGTTTTGAGGAAAAGCAAAAGATAGAAAGATTTCCGTCCTCCACCAAGCCTTTAAGGTAAGATGACAAGGCCGGGTTGTAATCCTTCTACCATCTGGGAAGCCGACATTTGGCTGCCGGAAAAGTGACAGAAATACGCAGAAGCCACAATCAACAGCTGAAAGAGCCGGCGATCAAGAGAAAAGTTGGGCTTTCTTCCAAACAGTTTTCACCCTCCAATTGAACATGTGTTCGAAGTCTATCGCGAGAGCACTTCTCGAACTAGACGCCTTTCACCCCGTTTCTTCGAGGTACCGCCCTTCCCCACAACTCTTCCTTCTAGTTTACGGTAAACTTAGACGCTTCGGCTTCGCTTCGTGTGTTTGGTGCAAAGTTAACCGTTTCGAAGACAATAACTGCCGTTTACAAGCTTGATGGCGTGGGAAAAAAAACCTGAGTATTGTTGTATGTCATCGACAAGAAGTGCAGTTTGGAGTGTTATATTCCATTCTTACTTTAAGGCAGAACAGCCTTCAACTTTCTTTTTTGGTGCTATTCTTCCCTTGTCAGGAAGGATTCTGCCTATCTATGCCACCTTTTAGCTTGCCTGTTCAAATTTTCTGAGCTCGGCAACTTTTTACTTCTATACGTATTCTAGAAATAAACTGGGAAACATGGACCTTTTGTCAATTTTGTTAGAAATACTTATTCTAAACTTTTTAAGCTTTTATATCCTTTTTTTAATTTACAAAATCCGATATCATTTGAATGGGCTATTTTAGTGAGAGAGGTATTTTATTTTAAAATGAAATACCACATTTTAGATATACTAGGACTTCTGGAACGAAAAATATGAGAAATCGATTATGCCCTTTCGAGACTCGAACCACGGATCTTCCCGTGGTAGCTGGATGTGCTGACATTAACATTATTGAAGTAACATGGGGAAAGCGATATATTTTTATAGCTTTCAAAATTTAAATCTCGGTTTTTGCCTGGAATACTAATTAATTCTTTGAATTATTTGCTGGGAAGAATTAACTGAAATGTAGAATTAAATGAAATGTAGAACTATTTATTTACAATGAAAGCAATGTACAAAGATCGAAAACTACATGATTATTTCAGTATAGATATAATAGTTAGTAATAAAGTGTATATATGGATGCCTTCCAATCTATTTTTATAAATGTCAGTATTTATTATATTATAATGTTTATGCAATTATTCTGATATTATGATAATTGTGTTATAGTCACAGGATGCTATTCTATCGTATTTCAGTGGATTGTTAGAATCCTGATCATGGCATGATCAAGATTATAATAACTCAGGAAGAAAAGTAATAGACATTATATGGATGGTTTCTTAATTACAATGGTACAAAAACGATAAACATCCAAAGGAAGCAGGTTTTTGAATTTTGAAGCTGCACAAAAGGAAAAAACAAATATATACAATCAAAATGTAGTGTTTTTCTAAAGCAAACTGCTTTTATGGTCAACAACTATGGATACTTAAGATTCTTGAAATTTATCGGAAGATTAAAAATTCACAATAATTTACTGTAGCCTACACACCATCCAGCAGGTACTGGGAATATTCTTTTCAGCTAATGGTTATATAACGAAACTGTTAAAAAGAATCCCCCTACAATTATATTGTTTTTCACTTTCGATAGTTTGTGTTCAATAAATTAAGTGAAACATTCAGCTGGATAGAACAGACTTTATACCAAATGATTTCGCTCAAAATATAAGCTTTCTTAGCACTTTAGCACTTTTTATATGATGAGCTAGACTACCCTATCCTATAAATGTTAAAGGACTTCTACTAAGAAGGCTTTTATGTTTAAATACAGTTACGCAAAAAATTTGGAAAATCGATTCCAGTTATGCAACTTACCAGACATGCCGTATTCATTAAATGGAGCTGCATATGGAATTGATAACAGCTCTAAGAATTGGGTTAAGAATGCAGTGCCAGAAGCCTAAATATTCTATATGCGTGTTTATTTCATTACTGTATTCTTGCATTACATTAAAAGGTCTACATGTTGTGGAATGTACTAATTATCATTCAGGTACTGCAGGTTCCATAAAATGCTTTTAATAGCAATCTGATGGGAATTTGTATGCCTATAATTATCTGTTTTCCATCAAAATATGTCATAGAATTCATACTGTCTTTATATTCAGACCATTTGCTTTATAGAAGTTAATTAATTTTCTGTATTTTTATTGGTCCAATAACTTTTCTACAAACAGTTAACATTATGCATTTTAACAATTTCAATTTTTTATTCTTGTGAAATCATATACATTTTTTGCATATATTTTTAAATAACTACTTAATTCTCTTGCTTATTGCATATGTGTTCATTATGTAGCTGCTTTGTGACACATCTATTAAAATCATATAAAAGTTGAGCACTCTTAGATTCTCATTTATATTAATGAATGTTATCATTTTTCTTTCAGGTTTAAGGGATTGTTCTGAGAAACGTTTTGGATATGCATCCTAACCTTTGGTTCCAGTTATGAATTAGACCTAACAATTAAATAGTATCCTTGCATTCAATATTTAATCATGTAACCTAGTGAAGGGGCGCTATAAGCGTTAAGTGGCTTTTTTTTCACTGCAGTACAAAGAGAAGCTAGCAAGCCGTGAATTGGAGACTTTCAAACACAGTGTCATAGCTTGGGCTTTTGAATTTTTAAGCTCATCTTCATTATTATGCGGCAGAATCCGTTTTAATATGAAATAATTTGAAGCAGTTTGTTTATGACAGAAACAAAATGTTGCAAATATTTTAGGTTACCAATTATGAATATAATGTCTTTATATTCAGACCATTTGCTTTACAAAACTTTCACTAATTTACGAGACAGAATTTGAGTTTTAAAAGCCAGCCAATTTATCTGTACTGTAAACGTAATTAGTATCAGGATATAAATTAAATGTATTTTCATACAAATTATGTAGATTTTTTTTTAAATAACGGTTTATAAATTCCTTCAAAGCATAATATATATTCATAAAAGTTTTGTCACTATTATATTTTGCGAAGTCCCCCGTTCTTCTCTGATGCACTTTTTTTGAAGAATTTACATCAAAAGTGTAATCATCAGAGCCGAAACAAAGCTGAGGCAAATGGGGCCCATGTCTCTAGGTGAACAGAGAGTACGAAAATTAAATTAGCTCTGAAATATAATAAATAACTTTTGAAAATGAAGTTAAGATTGTTAACTTTCCAGCTAGTTAACTTAATTTAAAGAACACATAGAGAAGCACAGCTTTAAAATATCAAAATAAATTAAAATGCGAATTATCTTTTGGAGACCGCGTGTCGTTATCGATGGGCGAGTGTTAATATCAACCAAAGAATGAGTGTTAAGATCGTTTAACATTGGTAGTTCGACCTGGGCTCAAATCTGGCGAACGATCGGACTGCATGGCCAAATTCATAGTTCTCTCCAGTGTTTAAGGTAAATGTGAGCCATTTTCCCTTGAAATGTCCTTCACTAAGGCATCCCTTCCTTAATCAGACAGCCCTACAGCCCTTGTGTGCCTTACTATAATCCAAATAATCCGAATCTGAATCATATGCTCTTCAGGATGTCATAGAAAATATAATGTCTTTATATTCAGACCATTTGCTTTACAGAAGTTAATTAATTTTCTGTATTTTTCTTGGTCCAATAACTTTTCTTTAAACAGTTAACATTAGAAGAATTTTCAGAATTTCAATTTTTTATTCTTGTAAAATCATATACATTTTTTGCATATATTTTTAAATAACTGCTTAATCCTCTTGCTTACTGCATATGTGTTCATTATGTAGCTGCTTTGTGACACATCTATGAAAATCATATAAAGCTAATTTTAAATACGACAAAGCGCAGTTTTTCATTTTACTCGTCGAAGGTTCAAAGCAAATAAACATAAAATTCTTTAAGTATGAATTAACTAATTTACAGTATTATTTTCTCTTACGAATACCTTATGCAGTTGCAATAATCATTGCTACCTCCTAAATAAATTCCACCATAGTTACATTTTCTGTCAGAATAAGTGGTGTAACCTATTTGCGTTGCTACGCTACCAACATGATTCCACTAAGAAATGTAAATTACCGCAGACGATTACCCACAAAGAATATCCGCAGACGATGCGCACGCTTAAAAAATCTTTTTCAGTTATTCTGCAAATTTTGACTAATAAACTAATAATAGTTGGTTGCAAAGCTGAGCTTTGAGTTGGTTGTTCGTTCAAAAATGGCGAGAGTTCTTTAAAACTTCATTACAGACGTATACAAGAATAAATATCTGTTGGTAGTCGCTGGGATTGAAATATGAAATCAGTGTTTATTTAAAAACAAAAGAAAATACTGTACTTGTGAGTACAAGTTTTAATGAATACTGTGCCATTTTGTATGAAAATGTTGCATCTTAGTATTGAATTCAACTAATAGAACGATATTCTAAGCTTAAGCTTTGGGTTAAAGTGTCAAAATATTTAATGTTCTTTTAAAATTTGAGCTCTTGTATTAGAGTGGCAAATTTATTACGTTAATATTAGACTATTTATATTATAAAATTTGAGCCTTTGTATTAGAGTGGCAAATTTATTACGTTAATATTAGACTATTTATATTATAAAATTTGAGCCTTTGTATTAGAGTGAAAAATTTATTACGTTGATATTAGAATATTTCTATTATGAAATTTGAGCTCTTATATTAGAGTCGCAAATTTATTACGTTAATATTAGAAATTGCTATTATAAAATTTGAGCTTTTGTATTAAAGTTGCAAATTTACTATGTGGCTCTAGTGTAAGAATTGTGTGCCCCTTCGATTAGCGACAATTTTATTTTAAATTTTGGCGATGAAACCTCACTTCTGGTTACCATGATAGTTTAACTTTATTTTAGTTTCTTGATTTTATTTAAATGAAAATGGATTGATGTGTACATGGATAAATTTAAGGCAGTGCGTAATGCCTAGGTTGTGCAATTCTAGGATTTTCTTTAAGTGAAAACATATCGATGTGTACATAGACACAGATTTGTGCAATTCTTTGACTTCTTATTTTGGTTTTGTGTAGCGGCCATCTTGAAATTGTGCCTTCCTGGCGCCGATTTTCGCGTCGAAAAAGAATCGCCAAGAAATAAGGGGCACTAATCGTAAACTTTTACCTACTATGTTAATATTAGAATATTATGAAATTTGAGCTCTTGTATTAGAGTCGCAAATCAAGAATTTTGTTGTGTGAATCCATTTAGAGGCTTGAATTCTTTTTTTACTTACTTTAGTATAATTTATTAAGAGCAAGCTTCGCAAATTTTTGTTTATCGGAAAGCACATAAGTTTTTATTGCATTAAGTGTTTTAGAAGTTGTTAATGTTTATTGCATTAAGTTTGTGTCATATAATGTTTATTGCATTAAGTTTGTGATTTGAATTTTTGATTGACTAAAAGCCTTTTAAAATTAATTTTGAAATGGTGTCGAAGAGTTTTTCTATTTCTAAACATGTCATTTCTTGCCAAGGGTAGAAACAAGATTTAATAGAAGTAGCCGAAGAATTAGGTGAGGAAGTGTCGCTAACTATTAAGGTTCCAGAAATTAAAAACAAATCACTGAAAGTCATTTTTACGATGAGGAAGAAGTTAAATTAATTCTAGACCGAATAGTTGGTGAACGCCAGGCTCAAGAAGCGAGAGACGAACGCCTAGCTCAAAATGCGAGAAAAGAATGCCTGGCTCAAGAAGCGAGAGAAGAACGCCTGGCTCAAAAAGCGAGAGAAGAACGCTTGGCTCAGAAAGCGAGAGAAGAACGCCTGGCTCGAGAAGCAAGGGCATATGAATTGGAAATAATGCGACTTGGAATTGAAACTCAAGTAATACGAGCTAGAGAATCAGCAGTGAATACAGTAGAATCGAGCAACAAAATCCAGTTGTCACAAATTACTCCAAAGTTTGACGAAAAATGGGATACAATGGGACTATAGTTCATTAATTTTGCGAGAAAAGCTGAAATGGCTCAGGTTCCTAAGAAAGATTGGGTGGCTTATCTTTTGGGTGTTTTACCCACCGAAATCTCCATTATGTTAGCGAGGAAACCATCTGAAGATGCGACTAAGTAAGAATACGTAAAAAATCTATTCTTAAGAAGATATAAACTTAACAGTGAAAAGCTGAAACAATGCTCTTATCGACATAAAAAAACTCCTGAAAAATCTTGCAGAAATTATGTTCATGAACTTCATAATTATTTTTTGGAGCGGATTGTGGATTTAGAAATTAAGACATTTGAAAATCTGAAAGATTTAATAGTGACCGAGCAAATTAAATATAGGGTCCCCATGGAAGTAAAGGATCATTTTCTCGACCAATGGATGAAATTAAAATCTCCATATGAGCTAGCAGAAAAATTAGACGAGTATGAGAGTGTTGAACAAAGCTTTAAGAGGGAAAATCCTAGAAAACAAGGTTTGAAACTTCAAGAAAGTCATCAAAACGTGAACAAAATGCAAAGTGGTTATCATAATAAACATAATTCTAAAGAAATCTCGAAATATTTTAATCCTAAACCTATAATTAGGACAGAATGTACTAATAAAATTCATGAAAATGAGAAACGGAGATAACCTCTTTGTTATGAATACGGAAACCTACTCGCATCTTCGACCTCAGTGTGATAAACTAAAGAAGAATTTAGAAACTGTAGCATCCAATGAAACTGTACCCTCAAATGAAGTTTCCAAAAATAGTTTTTAGGATATTATAGCTCCATTTACCAGCCTAGGTACAGTAAATTGTTATGAAATGCCCATACTTAGAGATACCGGTGCTACTTTGGATTTAATTTGCCAAAAGTATGTACAGCCTTCCATGTATACGGGTGAGACCGTGTGGATACGAACACCTCCTAAAAGAATATCCAGTGTGCTTAACTTTGGCTGAGGTAGAGCTTGAATGTGATCTTGGTCATATAATAACAAAGGCTGCAGTCTTAAGAGATTCATTAGATTAAGGAAGGTATCTTCTAGGTAACAAAACCGCTTCATTATTTGAAGAAGCAAAACTAGATGAAGAGGTTCAAATTCATATGATAAACGCCATACACACTCGTGCTCAACAGCGACGACTAAAAGAAACGGAAAATCTCGTCTCAACAAATGAGTCAAATTCTGAAATTGAAATTAACGACAAATTGACTGAAAGACACATTGACTGAAAATGAAAGTTTGCCACCTGTGAAATATGAACGTTCTGATAAAGGCCTCTCCTGAAATATTTATACAAAAATAGAAGGAGAGCGTCGAATTGAAGCCGATTTATAAAGAAGCTAAAATAAAATCTTCTAAGAGTATGAGGTTTATGTTGAAAGGACAAATGCTCTTTTTCAAAAACGAAGATCGTGATGGAACACAAAGACTATTGATTGTTGTTCCTGAAAAATATCGGAACCAGTTGATGAGTATTTGTCACGAAGAAACAGGAGCCCATCTTGGTGCAACAAAGACCAAAGATGCATTATAAAAAATTTTTATTGGCCAAATTGTTACAAAGAACGAGAATTTTGTTAAAACTTGTGACAAATGTCAAAGAATTAGATAGCCGCAAGATAAAAAGAAAGCACCTTTGAAAACTGTCCCTGTTATCACAGAAATATTTTCAAAAAGAAATGTTGACGCTTGTGGGCCTCTGCTCGTGACACCTTCAGAAAATAAGTATCTTATAACTGCAATCTGCATGTCTTCAAAATATCCGGATGCAGTTCCTGTCTCAAATCTTTGCTCAACCACGATCGTTGATGTTTTCCTTCAAATTTTTAGTCGAATGGGATTTCCAAAGAAAGTCCAAACCGACCAAGCTACATCTTTCACGAGTGCGCTGACATCGAATTTCCTAGAAAAATTCGGAATTAAAATTGTACGAAGTTCTGTTTACCACCCACAAAGCAATCCTGTAGAGAGGGTGCATAGAACTTTAAAAAGAATTCTTCGAGTCCTATGTCCAGAATCTGGTCCGGACTGGGATAAAATCTTACCTCTGGCTTTATTTGCTCTTCGAACGACTATTCACGACAGTACCGGTTTCTCGCCCGCAGAATTAGTTCATGGCAGAAACTTAAGAACTCCAGTTATTCTATTGTACGAAAAATTATCTGGTAAAGAAAAGGAAGAAAATACAGTAGTGGACTATATTTTTGAACTAATGAATCGAATGAGGAAATGTCTAGAACTCGCTGTCCAGCACATGGAAGAAGCCAAAGAAAAGCAGAAACTCTGGTATGATCGCACAGCCGTAGAACATAAATTTCAAGAAGGAGACTTAGTTTTAGTTGCAGCTCCCTCGAAGCCAAACAAAGTATCAGTTAAATGGGTAAGTCCTGAAAAATTAGTTCAACAATTATCAGAGACAAATTATGTAGTCGACTACATAAATATGCTAAAACCGTATTTTCAACGAGCAGAAAATATAAACTTGCTATGTTTAGAAGACAGGATAAACGGGTATGAAGATGAAATACGGAGTCTAAATTATAGCGCAGATACTGAAATGTCTGAAGTTTTGCAAGGCATCCAGTTGAATTCACTATTATCTGAAGACCAACGAAAAGAGTTAAAGCAGTTGATAAAGTATTCCTGTATTACCTCTAATGAACAAGGATGTACTGACCTTACCGAACATGATATAGAATTAGACGCAGAAAGACCAATACGCGCAAAACCTTATAGGATGTCTGCCAGACAAATCGAGATTTTAAAAACGGAAAGATGATAAAATTAATTAGAAATTGATTATTAGAAAAGATGATAAAAAGTAATAGAACCAGGTGAATCGGATTTTACCTCTCCACTCATACTAGTTGAAGCTCC